GTGAGTGAGTGTGTGTGTGTGTGTGTGTGTGTGGAGTTAATGAGTAAAGTGGACACTTGATCTGTTGCATTGTGTAAGTCACACTAATTGTGCGACGGATCAATAATGAATGTGTTCAATAGATCAGGAACAGAGGAAACATCAATAAAACACTGTGACTTCTGAGATGAAAAATCCCAATGATCCATCCACTGCACCACTGCAAATGTGATATTGATTTGATACAACAGTTCAATAATAAAGCAATAAGCCCCAAGAAGCCGTGGTTTACAGTGAATTTATGACTACAATCGCTACAATCCTACAACCCCCTTAGCTGTTATAAATTCACTGCAAACCACGGCTTCACTGGCTTTTATACTATCCGTTTTATAAACAAGAATTAATAATGTGTTACATTTTAGACACAACATTGTCAATTTTGTCTGTTTTTGCTCAATTTTGCAAACGAAAACAGATCCAATCAAAGCCGCAGCTGAACCATTGTGCAACACACAGCGGCGATTCGTTACTGAATGAATCGACATTTTTGACTGAATCGATTCAGTGACTCATTTATAAAGAATGAATCAGCCGTTTGAACAAATCGGTTGAATTAATGATTCAGTGACTCATTCATTCGCCATCACCTACTGGCGCTTTTACTTTCATATTTACAGTATCATATGTGACCCTGGACCACAAAACCAGTCATAAGGGTCAATTTTGTCAAAAATGAGATTTATACAGTAGCTGAAAGCTGACTAATTAAGCTTTCCATTGATGTATGGTTTGTTAGGACAGGACAATATTTGGCCGAGCTACAACTATTTGAAAATCTGGAATCTGAGGGTGCAAATAAAAATAAAAAAAATATTGAGAAAATCGCCTTTAAAGTTGTCCAAATGAAGTCCTTAGCAATGCGTATTACTAATCAAAAATTAAGTTTTAATATACTTACAGTAGGAAATTTACAAAATATCTTCATGCAACATGATCTTTACTTAATATCCTAATGATTTTTGGCATAAAAGAAAAATCTATAATTTTGACCCATGCAATGTATTGTAGGCTATTGCTGCAAATATACCCCAGCGACTTAAGACTGCTTTTGTGCTCCAGGGTCATATTTCATTTTTTTTTTTAAATCACTTTATATTTAATATTTTTAAAAAATCTCATTAATAATCATTTATTATAATTACTCATGCAATGCTGAAAAAAATATTTATTTATAAAGCAATATATATATGTATATATAAAACACAATCATGACTGTAAATGATCTTTTGGGGGTTAATTTCTCAGCCAAAGTCGCTGTTGAATTAATTAATGATTGGCACATCATGTCATTAATTAAGAATAGAAATGGCTAAGTTGATGTGATGGATTGACTTACTTCATCTGTGAGGACTGCGCTGTGACTCCGGTGTATCCGTTCATGTCTGGACTTTGCATTGCGCTCACAGATCCTCCACTGCAACACAATAAAAGCAGCGTCAGACACAAACATCACGAGACAAAGAACTGCCAGCACACGGATGGGAGAAATACACATACGCCAGGAACCATGAGAGACAGCTGTCAATCACACAGAGACACAGATGCCATCTGTATCACCTTCATCATCATCATCATCATCATCATCAAAGCTGTCTCACTGCTCAGACAGAATGAGATTCACACATACGACTCATATTCACTTATGACACAATCACGGAACAAAGATCAGATTTTCAGATTTTGTAATCAGATGTGTCAGTAAATGAGAGCTGGATGAGATATTTACTGTGGGAGGAGTCTGACGCTGTGTGTGAAATCATGTGAGCACTCCTGGGTCTTCTGATTGGTCCACTGTTTTGGAACTGCGGTGTGTAAAAGTTGAAATTCTTTTCAACAAGCATGTTCTCATCTAATGTTATTTAATTATCTAACATGTAATCAGAGACATCCGGACTTGAAACAGCATGTGTGTGTGTCACATACTGTTTTTCGCCTACTATCAGTGATGGGGAAAGTTAATTTTAAAAGCTATGCATTACAATTAGGGCGTCCATGTTTACATACGGGAAAAAAAAAACATTTATAGCCTGGTTAATAATAGTCTGCTGGTGTTATACCTTCAGTCGTTTTGAATTTGAATTACCTTGACTTTTGAGATTTTTTAAAGCATTTTCCTCGTATTATTTCTGAACATATAATAGGCATAAGACAAGTCTGGAGAAGACGTAGTTGAAGATATTTAACGGTAATTTGTTTAACATTTACATCACGTGTGGTGCACTTAAAACAGAAATTTCTTTAACTAAAGGGTTAATAAAGAAGAAGTTGCTTGGATCATGTTGCAGTTACATTTTCAAGTTAAAAATCGAGAATCGGTCAAACGTTCTGAAAAAAAATCGAGATTTTTTTTTTTTTGCCATATCGCCCAGCCCTAATTACAACATTGCATTACTCCATAAAAATAACTAACTGTGTTACTTAGTTACTTTTTATGGAAACTAATGCATTACTTTTGCGTTATTTTTTGTCACCTGAGCTGGACTTGCTTATTAAAAATAAAAAATAAAAAGTGAAAAGTGCCAATTTCTTTCAACATGAGGACAGGAGAGCTGTCAGTGAATAAATGGGAAAACACAGTAACTTGCATTACTTATTTGAAAAAGTAACTCAGATGTGTGACCCTGGAGCACAAAAGCAGTCTTAAGTCGCTGGGGTATATTTGTAGCAATAGCCAACAATACATTGCATGGGTCAAAATGATCGATTTTTCTTGTATGCCAAAAATCATTAGGATATTAAGTAAAGATCATGTTCCATGAACATATTTTGTAAATTTCCTACCGTAAATATATCAAAACTTAATGTTTGATTAGTAATATGCATGGCTAAGAACTTCATTTGGACAACTTTAAAGATGATTTTCTCAATATTTAGATTTTTTTGCTCCCTCAGATTCCAGATTTTCAAATAGTTGTATCTCAGCCAAATATTGTTCTATCCTAGCAAACCATACATCAATGGAAAGATTATTTATTCAGCTTTCAGATGATGTATAAATCTCAATTTTGAGAAATTGACACTTAAGACTGGTTTTGTGCTCCAGGGTCACATATTTTCTTGTAAATTTAAAAGTAATGTATCACTTTACTAGTTACTTGAAAAAGTAATCTGATTGCGTAACTTGTAATGCATTACTCCCAACAATGCCTGCTATACTAGGGAAGTACGCCATTGTGTGTGTGGTTTATTTCTCCCACGCTGCTCCTCTCCTCTGAGCACAGGCATGGAGATTTAACTCAACGTCCCGCGTCACATGATCACAGACGACAGCGATGCTCTGAACTCTCTGATGCTGCTGTTAACGGCTCGTTTAGTGCGTTTGAGATGATGAATGATCAGACAGTCAGTCTCCACCGCGTGATGCCGCACGTCTATAATTAGCCCGGCGTGGGTCGTTAGCAGGTTAATCTGGCCGATTGAGTAACGAGTCCGACAGAGTTAAACCGTCCAAGAGCTTCAGCCTGTGCGATGGCAATCATTGAGCCGAATGTAAATAGAGAGTTTATTCTGACAGATGAACACCTGACAGGTTAAACACCTGAAACTGATCCTTAACCGGCACATGTGCTGATAACTGAACACACACACAATGTTGAAAACAGATTTTCCACTCAATATTTTTGTGCGATGTGGGATAAGTAAGATTTTACTGTAGTTTTATTCATCAAGGACGCATTAAATTAATCAAAAGTGACAGTTAAGGCTAAAACGCAGCAAATGTGGCATTCGAACACGTTTCTCTTCCTGCATCAGCATTACGTCTGAAACAGACACATCAAACCCAGCGATTCATCCAAAACAAACACACTGAGGAATCATGGCACACCTGTGTGAAGATGAATCACACAGCAAACAGAACAAACTCTCTCTTCAGTCGTACCTGTTCACAGCCTCGGCATACAGACGGCGTGACGCGTGAGAACCGCGACAATGTGCCACTTCTTCTCACTGCGGAATCTTTAAGAGGATTTGTAAGGAGCTTTACAAACTCACACAGGTCTGTGATTATCCAGCGCAAAGGATGCTGGGACACGCAGATTCTGGAAAACTTCTTCAGTTCTGTTCTTCTGAAGATCTTTACGTGATCATAAAATGTTCTAAATCAGGCTTTGCTAGTGTTTTACATCACAAACGGGCTGTTTTACCTTCATACAAGGGGTTTTATATTTGGATCTTAACAACAACAACAGGTTTATTTATTTATATATATTTTTTATATATATATAATTTTATTTATTATATATATTTTTTTTTTTTTATTATTAACCATAATGAAGCACAATATCTCCACTGTGCTTGTGAGTTTTTGTGTCGGCTGTGAATCCATACGCTGCACATTATTCCTCTTTAATCTCGTTATCTCTTCTGTTTGCGTCTCAAGGCCCGTATGTACCCAGAATCCTCAGCACTCGCTGACATCACAGACCTGTCCTGATCCTATTAAACACAGCTATATTAAGATCTTTATGAGCACAGTAAATTCAGCACGGGCAACATATAAAAAATAAGCAAATTAACCCTCTCCTTCAGCAATATGAGGTCAAAGGTGACCAAAAACCCATTAAAACACACCATTGGTCTTCATATGTGGGTCAAACTGAGACACATCCACGGATGAAGCGCTTTAAATTCACTCGTCATCGTCTCTTCAGTGGGATTGTGAAGAGAAGCGTGAAACTTTCCTCTGTTTAGACTTCATTTACAATCTGCTCACAAACCACACTGAGGAGGCGAGACGGCTGATCTATATGGAGAAGCTCTCTCTCTCTCCGGAGCGATAACAGCATTCATCTGAAATCACTGCTTCTCCAGCGCTGAGAACTCAAGCCAGTAATTAAGACTCACAATAGAAGCATCCCAGAAACGCCCAGCCATCAATCACATACGACAGCGCTGGACCAAACAAACACACACACGACGGGTCGTATCATCCTCGTTTAACTGTTTTCCATTTAAAAATGGGGTTTGGGTTTTCTGTCAGGTCTAATATAGTTTTGAACGGCTCATCCTTCAATAACAGCCTCTTTGAAAGCCACACCATCACAGATTCATCGCTGAAATGTGATCGCTCAGGGATTTTGTTGAAAGTATATTTCAGCTGCTGGTTTCTAACACTGCTAATGATTCAACGACTCACTCATTAATACAGTGAATTGTTTCGTTTCAGTGTTTTTGAATGAATCGACTGAATTAATTATTCAATGACTCTCTCATAAAGCATTTTTGAAGGAATCGGTTGCATGAATGATTCAAATGACTCACTCATGAAGACTAGTTCCTGAACAAATCAGTGTGCTTGGACGAATCGGTTACATTAATGAACCGAAGACTCATCATTCCTCAATCCATCAGTGTATTTCAACAAATTAGTTGAATGAATGATTCAAATGACTCACTCATAGAGACTTGATTTGTTCCTAAATGAAACAGCATTTCTGAATGAACTGTTGAATTAATGAATGAACGACTCACTCACTCATAAAAACAGTAAATGTTTCGCTTCAGTGTTTTTGAATGAATCAACTGAATCAATTATTCAATGACTCTCTCATAAAGCATTTTTGAAGGAATCGGTTGCATGAATGATTCAAATGACTCACTCATAAAGACTAGTTCCTGAACAAATCAGTGTTTTTGAACAAATTGGTTGAATGAACAAATCAATGACTTGTAATTTTGGAGTTAATCAGTGTGCTTGGACGAATCGGTTAAATTAATGAACCGAAGACTCACTCATAAAGACAGTCACTTGATTCATTCCTCAATCCATCAGTGTATTTGAACAAATTAGTTGAATGAATGATTCAAATTACTCACTCATAGAGACTTGATTTGTTCCTAAATGAAACAGCATTTCTGAATGAACTGTTGAATTAATGAATGAACGACTCACTCATTCATAAAGACAGTAAATGTTACGCTTCAGTGTTTTTGAATTAATCGATTGAATGAGTTATTCAATGACTCTCTCATAAAGCATTTTTGAAGGAATCGGTTGCATGAATGATTCAAATGACTCACTCATAAAGACTAGTTCCTGAACAAATCAGTGTGCTTGGACGAATCGGTTAAATTAATGAACCGAAGACTCACTCATAAAGACTCATCATTCCTCAATCCATCAGTGTATTTGAACAAATTAGTTGAATGAATGATTCAAATGACTCACTCATAGAGACTTGATTTGTTCCTAAATGAAACAGCATTTCTGAATGAACTGTTGAATTAATGAATGAACAACTCACTCATAAAGACAGTAAATGTTTCGCTTCAGTGTTTTTGAATGAATCGATTGAATGAGTTATTCAATGACTCGCTCATAAAGCATTTTTGAAGGAATCGCTTGCATGAATGATTCAAATGACTCACTCATGAAGACAGTCATTTGATTAGTTCCTGGACAAATCTGTGTTT